ACAGAAACAATTCTGTTTCTGTTTTTTACAATAAGAATTAATTCCTGAAATGCATTGCTCTTGAGAAAAATGGAACGCAAAACTGCATGATCTGATGTGTGCAGATTATGTTTATATAGGCAGCTGACTGTTACACTATCACTGCAATTTTATTGTTCTCTGTGAATGAATATTTTTACAATATGAATAGTATCACTTATGAAATCTTATTACTTAATGGAGAGTAATTCTTAACCCTTTTTTTAAAAAAAAACCTACACTTTAATGTAGCATAGCATTAGATAAATTAAAATTATGAAGTTATTTGAAGCATATAAACTTTTCAGCCTTGTAGTAAGGTGCATATAAGAGCTTCAGTTTTACTGCAGTTTATTTGGTTGCTAATTTATTCTAAAAGTAAATATACAGTCATCAATAAAGAGGTGGAACAATTTACATTTACCTCATTACACTGTTAGAAACTTCAGCATACATTATTTTAGAGTAAACTATATCTATTTCCCTGCCACTCTGAAATAATTTCTCTCCTAGTTTAAAACCAGTTTACAATTCTAGTTTGAAAACAAATGTGAGCCGGGCATATTAAACTGATGGTAGTTATAGAACATAGAAAAGCAGTCAACTGTATTAATTTATATGGAAGTTGGGAAATGTATCGGCTAGTGGTAGTAGGATAAGCTCCAAGCTGTTGATTTCCCTTTGTGGAAAGTTTCTAAATCTTTTGTTATTTGGGTTATGAAGTCATGCAGTAAAACAACATTGTTTCCTTACAACCCTGGCATTTTCCCATGTCCCTTCTCTTTCTTTCCTCCCTCCCTCCCCTTTCCATATGCTGTGGATAACTAGAACTTGAGTAGCCACACCCCCCCTTTCAGTACCAATCCTGCACTTGCTTCAATGCCTGTTTGATTAATAGGGTTTCCCCAGTTTGATAAATTTAATTTTTCTGTGTATTTGTCTAAGCTCTGGGAAGGAAAACCCTGTGACACGATTTCTGAAGTAAAACAGCTGAGCATATTGTTGTTACTGATACCATCAAAGTTGACATTCTTACTGAAAGCCTGTTCATAACAAGATTCTGGAATTCTAGAGCACAGTCTTTATTCTGGGCTAGTGGAGCGGTGTGTGTGAAACCTCAGTTCATTACAGGCCATTATCAAATTCAGTCCATTTTCAATATAAAGCCGTACTAATTGTGTTTGTGTTTGTTTTGCTTTGTTTTTTGCCCCAAAGCTGATACCACGCAAATAAGCATATTCACATAAAAGTAGGAAATATACGTAATGTTCTAGAGCTTTGTCAACACACCGAAACTAATAATAATTTGTCATTTTCAATTTAGACTGTTTTAGGCATACCATTTATATGTAAAAGACTAATTAATCCTTCCAAAGTATAAAAAGAAACACAAAATTTCTGTGACAATTTATCTAAATAGAAATAAAAGTAAGTTTTTGGGGGGCGGGGATGACAAATATTTCATACCTTGTAAGGCTGCAGTTCCATCCACACTTATCTAGGAGCAAGCCACATTGATGTCCGTGGTCAGCTTGCATAGGATCAGGATGAAGTTAGAAAAACACCAATAGCAAAGGGCTGCTAAAGACTAGATAGATATGAACATCAAAATATGTTTGTACAAAACCCAAAACCCTCAAGTCTGACTCCTTCAGAAGGGAGAAATCTTCCATAAAACACTTGAAAAATCCTTTCTGAATGCAGATAATTTTGATATGGAAATCAGTGTCAATTGGTCTGGGGAATGATCGTAACAAAAAATGGTTCCCATTTGTTTTTAAATCTTGTTCAAGTGCCTTGTCAGCCCGCATGTGTATAAAGTCGGCAAAACTCCATGTTTCCAAGAGAGAAAAATTCCTAGAAATTGTACATTTAGGAGCAAATCCACAAAGCCTTGAAATTAATGTAAAACTGAACTTGGTTATATTATCTATATTTGAGAAAGGCCAGAAGGATAGGGAAAGAAAGAAAGAAAGAAAGAAAGAAAGAAAGAAAGAAAGAAAGAAAGAAAGAAAGAAAGAAAGAAAGAAAGAAAGAAAGAAAGAAAGAAAGAAAGAAAGAAAGAAAGAAAGAAAGAAAGAAAGAAAGAAAGAAAGAAAGAAAGAAAGAAAGAAAGAAAGAAAGAAAGAAAGAAAGAAAGAAAGAAAGAAAGAAAGAAAGAAAGAAAGAAAGAAAGAAAGAAAGAAAGAAAGAAAGAAAGAAAGAAAGAAAGAAAGAAAGAAAGAAAGAAAGAAAGAAAGAAAGAAAGAAAGAAAGAAAGAAAGAGAAGCATCAGCTTATATACTGAAAAGAAAGGGAAGTTATATCAGCTTGGAATACAATTCAAAAACTAACCTAATGGCTGCCTGGGGGGAAAAAATTAACTAGAATTGTTATTTTACAACAGAAAGCCTTTCTTATTTGCATACTGTGTTTGGAACCAACTAGAAACATTCAAAATATGTTGTTATAATTTATAAGTGGAAAATCTATCTTAGTTGCCCTGCTACTCTTCCTTTCTGTTTTCTGTTTAAAAAGTATCTTTCTTTCTGGTACAATTGCATCTTAATTGCCTGATGTTTAGAATAAAGAGACACAAAGGCAATGGAAAGTTAAAATCATTTTTTTTTATTTTTTTATGATTTTTTATTTTTTTACTGTTTTCAACAAGTCAAGTATAAGGAAATGGTGGGAAGGGAAGGAAGTGCATATAGTCTGTCCTTGGCACTGCAATACATTTAACACCAGTAAACTTTTTAGTGGTGGCTTTTTTTTCCTTTCTTTTCTTTTTTCTCTGTCTTTCCTTTTTGGGCTTCTATTCTTTTTTTCTTTTAATTTATTTTGTTTTCTTTCCTTACTTTTTTAAAGAAAGAAAATCGTACATCTAGTTAAATAATGTTGTTTTTCACTTGGTGACAACATTCAGGCAAACGAACGAGAGAGAGAAAGGGCGAGGAAGAGGAGGGAGGGGGCTTACACACACTGAGTATTCAGGACGGGGAGGAGGAAGAAATGTACCTCGGGTTCCGCTCGGCTGCCGCCCAGTCCCGTCGCTGTGGGGAGCGTCTTTTTAAGGTCATTTTGGGAAAAGGGGAGCGGGGGAGGAGCGCCGCCGCCGCCGCCGGGGCTGCAGTCCCTGGGTTCGTCCCCCTTCCAGAGTTTCGGAGGCGCCCGAGGCGCCCTATAGCTTGTCGAGGCTCTTGGGGTTGGTGAGGATCTCTCGGGCCAGGCGCCAGGTCTGCTTGGCGGCGCTCTCCAGGGCCGAGTGGGGCTTGCCCTGAAAGAGGTCGAGGTTGGGCAGGAAGTAGTGCGGGCAGCGGCGGCACTGCAGGCAGGAGATGAGCTGCAGCAGGATGCCGTTGAGGCGGTCGCCCAGGCAGGCCTCGTCCCAGTCGGTCTCCCGCGGGTGCTTCTCGCACTCGTAGAGCAGCAGCGTCTTCATGTGGTAGTTGTTGAGCGGCTGGCCAGGCAGCTCGAGGTGCCGGTCGCGCAGCGTCTTGAGCACCGAGAGGCACTTGTTGCGGCAGCCGCCCAGCAGCAGGCGGTTCTCGGCCTCGCCGAACTGCAGCACCCAGGCGTCGCTCTCGGCCGAGCTCTGCTTGCCCGTCAGCGAGTAGCACTCCTTGGAGAGCAGGTTGAAGCCCTCGGCCTTGACCTCCGCCACGCGGTT